GCAGCAAATGAAGTCGTATGTGCACAGCAATGAAAATTGATCGTGCCTGTGGACCACTTCCAAGTGCTCCACCATGGAGAAGTCTCCATAGTGGCATGCAGTCAATTTCGAACAATGCTACTTTAATGCTATGCAGCCATTCCGCAAATTGATCTCCTCGTGTTTTCGTCAAAGGGCACCAGGCGTGGATGCAAACGACTTGCAGTTGCACTCCAAATGTTACGTCTGCATTCACATTATTATTTGCCAAACATAATTTTGTTTGACGCCTTGAACACGAAAATGATAGAGATTGACGCCATTGCCGTCAGAATTCATTACATGTCGTATATAAGCGTTTTGGATCAGAACGGCGGAGTTTCCTACGTTCGGGCTGCACCACCCATTGAAATCCGTGAGAATAATCAACCAGGCAACCCAATCACTGAGGGTCATATGGCCAATTACAAGAAATACACAGAATACATTGTATGCCTGTCATACACGAATATCTTCAATTGCTGGATTGTAGTGTTCATTGCTTGAATACATATTATACTACCTGAAATAGCGATATCAACACCAAAACTGGGTCAGAAGCTTGCTAACGATAATGCTTCCATCAGCGTTGTGCAGGCTTGTTATTTACGTGTACGTTTACGTTTTTGCGTTCACGTGTTTACATGCAAAAACATAATTTGCAAAAAGAAATGTTTTTTGCTGCTGTATTTACATTTTGCGGCTGGTTGAGACACATAGTTTACATTATGAAAGTGGCGCACAACGATCAGTCCTCCGCCCCTTCGAGGATACGCAACATAGAGTCCACCTGGTCCCCGGCAAGGGCAATGGCGTCGAACAAATTGCGTTTTCTGCCAAATCTAGCGCGTTTGGCTGCCACTCCCTGGACTCTTTAAGTCTACATGTACTGCCTTTGCATAAATAGACGTGCACTTATGCTGTATTTATGTAGTTTTACACATTTTTACGCGTAGCAACTTAAAAGATATGTTACGTGCAAAAATGTTTACAGGGTAAACAACAACCCTGACCTTGTGCCAACAATTACAACAGCGCCCGAAACCTCCACCGATTGCATTTCTTGCTGGCCATCGGCTTCGTCAAACAAGCGAATTCGCAGAGTGGCGTACAGGCTTGGTTTTTACGCAGTAAAAACTGATCGTATTTACATTTCTACGCGTAAAAATGCGCAAAAATACGTAAATACAACGTAAAAACTGCCTGGTGTACCAAAGTACAGTACATACAGACTTTCGCAGTCCGGACAGCGGCAGCCAGACGCCCTGGAAGGGGCAGAAGACGAGCTTTTATTAAACGATATTATCGCCCTTGTGGAAGGCGAAGTGGACATTGTGTTGCGGGTGCTGGAGATAGCGGGGTACAGAATGTCGTGGATATTGGGATTCTCACTGCAAATCCAGCTTGGGGTTGGAACAAAGAAATTGAGTCGGCGTTGTGTCGCAGTACACTTTGCACATGTAATGGATCAGAAAAACCTGAAAGCAGCAGACATTACCCTTCAATGATCTGTAGTGAGCCGTAAAGCTGCCAGTCTGGTGCGACCACCGCCGAGTGAGATGTGCGATAATTTGTGGGCTCATATGAACTCGATATTGTACTGGCGACCCTTCGGTAGTTGGCCAGGAAGGTTCGGTCCGTATTGCGGTGTTGCTTTTTTCCTACGCAATGGGGCTTGGGCTGGCCATTGTAATATCGTCATGAGAAGACGTAAGCAAACCCTGGCGCTATTCAAATACCCACATCGTCAGTGACCAGTGGTTTTAGAATTGGTTGCGATCATGAGCTGTGCCGCGGAAACCATTCATCACATCAACCAATCAAACACAAAAGGTTGCCATCGCACCAGCTCATTGATCATAGGATTGGCGTCAGCCACACTCCAACTCACACTAGTCTCCCCCAATCACAGAACGCTCATCATAGAAACTCCAATTCACATCCACGACTGTCCTTGACAAAGACGAAATGGCTACAACTCATTTTAAATTAGTAATTGCAAAGTAGGCAACGGCAGTAATACCAGCAAAAAAGTACAGAAAATATGCAGCCTCGAAGTCAGATCATGAACGCCTTTTCAAATCATGAGAAATGTACCACATCAGCACGAAACATGCTTCGCATCATTTTCACATATGCTTAGTTTTCTTGCATGGATACGTGAATTCAAGCCAATAACAGTCCTGTGTGGTAAGAAAAAGATATACATAATGTGTGACTGGCCACCAGCGATTGGTATATTCCAATAAACCCTTGGCAGCACCACATCTCACCACATCTCCACTACAGTGGAGCAGCGAGTGCACTCTCCATGCAGGACTCTCCCCTGACAGGCGCGCAAACCCAAAGCGCTCGTTGGTGTGCGCAAATTTAAGCCAAAACTAACGAGATGGTCAAAACAAGATCACATATTGCTGCCAACGCCACGCTCAATGCGAAGCCCCTCACTGTACGACCCCTAGTGGGGATCGGCCACGAAACCCATTCCACATGCGGCACCTCACTACACAGGGCATCACTGCCTGACAAATGCCCCCCAATGGCCTCACCCTCTCCTCTGGCATAAAATTACTGGCTGCACCAAATCGGTGACTTCTTGCACCAAGTCACGTGCACATCATGTCCAACTCCGTCCCAACTAACCTAACCTAAAACCTGAACCCTAAAACCTAAACCTAAACCTGTCGTAACCCTTACCCTAACCCTAAAACTCACCCTGAAACTAAACCTAACCCTAAAATTGAGGTTAGGACAAAGTGTCACGTGACTTGGTGCAAGCAGTCACCGATTTGGTGCAGGCAGTAATATTTTTTCCTCTCCTATTGCCCGTCTCAGCACCGTGACCCGGTGTCGCGTCCCGGAGTCGGTTGCCGCGCGCCCATTGCCTCCCCAGGCGCGTGGCAACCGGGGCCGCTTGCTTCGCGGCACCTTCAGGCGCTGACGGGCAAACCGCGGCGCCGCGCCACCGGCGGCGTCGGGAGAGATCGGCGGGTGGGAGGACGACAGCCTGGCGTTCCGTCTGGAGGATCCATCATCCACCGAGCCAGCAGCGTCAGAGGCCCCAGCCGCGCCCCTCCCCCTGCCCCCTGCGCCCCACCACACCACACGGACGGAGGCTATAGTTTGAAAGAGAGAGAGAGAGAGAGAGAGAGACAAGGCCATTTGGGAATTGGGTAGGGCTCTGGCTTAGCGCTGGCGCGGTTCATAGTCCATCGCTCTGTTTGTGGTTCATGGCCCAGTTCGCGATCCAGTTTATGTGGGGACGATGCGATGCCACTGAGCAGGCCGCTTGGTCGCGGTGCCGGTGGAACGGGGTGTTGAATGGCGCGCAAAGGCGTCGCGGCGCTTGGTGGGCGTTTGGTAATGCCTGCTTTGGCGCGTTACGGTGTTGCCAGGGTTGGATTTGCGGGCGCTGCTGACAGTAATTCGGGTGGAACGCCCCTGTGGTGCCCAGGGAAGAGGGTCCAGCCAATGGATAGCGAGGAGAGCGATTTGTCAACGGAAGACGACGAGGTGAGCATTTGTGGATCGCTGACGGCGATTCAGGTCATGCGTATGTGCGCTGAGCAGTGAACGCCTGTGCTAACCAGAGCCAAAACCCCGAACTACGTCCCTAAACTGGCACGTCTGCAATTGCTATTGGCACGTAAGCAACTAGGGGCACAGGCTGCAATGTTTCTGAAGTGGTGACTATTTGTGAGACTGTACTCTTGGTGGTCATCTGCTTGCCCAGTGCCATAAGCTCTGCATGGATTTCGAATGCCAAGGTGGGCACCCAGCATTCGCGTAGTTTGTTTGCAACCATGCCCACAGCGGGCCAATGAATTGTTGCTCGCAAAGTGCTCTTTGGCATTTTCTTGCAGGTTTTCTCATACGACCAGAACTGTCAACCTCGGAAGGTCAGGATCATCGGAACGTTCAGCCAAAAGAAAGGTGGGTCTTCATGCAAAGAAGGTCCTGTTTTGATCTTTCTCTTGCCTGCTCCCCAATGATGTGCCACTTCTTGGATGTGTTTCATAGCCATGCTGTTGGCTGGCCGACAATGAAGCCTAAATGGAGGGTGGGTTGATGGAATGCACCAGGCTTCTGCAGATGTTCCCGATGCATCCAACCATATTCCAAACCCTCCATCTTCAAGAAACCATATAAGCATGACCTGAGGAAGGAGGAGTAGGTCCTCTTCCAAGATACTGTTCATAATACTCTGGATTGGTGTAAGTTACAGGCAGAGGCCTTTGCGAATTCACGCCCACAGAGTCTGCTCAGGGGTACGTTTGCTGTGACAAATTTGCTGTGGGCACATTGATGCTTTCAACCCCCAAAATGATACTGTGTTTGCTGCAGAGAGAATTGACAAGTACACGGTTACCCGCTGCAAGGTAGGTACGATGATGGCTGCAGGCTGGATATATGGTCATTGTGCAGTGAGGGAGCAACCCAAGTGTGCGGGCCCCAGTTTGATGTTGTTCCTTGCAGTGCACAGCTGGAGTCGATGCAATCAGTTTCTTGATTCAGAGGTGCCTGATCATGCCTCTATAACCCCTGCAAGCCAACCTGAAATGATGAGTATTCACCCTGTTTGCCCGTAAAAGGTACACAGCAAAATTATTGGTGCCCAATCAAAAGAAAACATCTTTCAGATGGTAGCCAACAGACTATGTTTAATGTGTTGTCATTTGAGCTTTCAACTGCCATTCTTTTTTGCAGACCGTTGAGATCAAGGACCCATTCACTAACCGGAATGGTGGCAAGCCATGGCGAAAGGTGTTTGAGGGATCAACTGTTTTGATTCATGGTGAGCACTTCCCTTGCAGGTCTATATCAAGCCCCTTGTGCAATTCATAATCGCGCTTTGATAGCAGCATGTATGTTGGCTCAAGTAATGTTGGCTGGACTAATGCAACACAATATTTCTCCATAGCGACCATTGCCCTCCTCCAGATGTAGCTTCACTATTGGTGCTTGTAGTGTTGACCGTTGAATAGTCTGCAAAAAGCTGTGTTCTTAGTAAGTATTTGAGGAAGATGCTGAAGCCGTAAACCTTATATTGGGATAGTCATCAAGCTGCGGTGAAACAGCACTAGGTTAGTGTGCTTAAGCAGGCAGAATCATCCAAGCTGCATGGGTGTGAGAACCAAATTATTGTGCTCTCCACAGGGGAAGATACCTTGCCAATGATGGCCCTGGTGCACAAATTGTACAAGATCGACAGCGGCACCCGTGATGGTAGACAGGTGGATGCTCTCTTGAAAGTGACGTGGCTGTATCGGGACAAGGAGGTGAAATCGACCAACAAAAAGCCATCCTCATGCACGGCAGGTGCAATTTTGAACAGAAAGAAGGAATCGGAGTCTGTTCGTGAGGTAAGGTTACCTTCATGTTGCGTCAAGATACTAATTGCCCTGCCAGCTGTTGACCCCCCCGGCTGTGTGTGCTTTTGCTGGCTATGCTCTCACTCTCATGTGGGACTCCTTGAGATGTGTCTTCTGTTGCACGCTGGATTCTGCCAAAATCCCAAATGTGCACAGCAGGAGTCTTTGTTTTATACTGAGCCGATGTTGAAGTACAAGGTTCAGGTAGGTGCAGAGAAAAACGAGCTGTTGAAGAGAATGATAAAAGAAACATAGCCATGCGTGTATCTGTTCCATTTGAGACTGCTGATAGTGTGTGCTTGATTCGCAGGTATTTTACACAGCCCACAGTGATACAGTGTTGGCACACCACATTATACATCCTTGTTTGGTAAGCACCCACAGGCGCCTGTCCCTGACCTGTCCGATCTCCCTGACTGGATCTCGTCTCTTGTCCCTAGCCAGACTAGTGTCCCAAGGCAGTCAGAATGAAGGAAACATGGGCTGCATATGTTAAAACAGGACAAATCAGTGCCCAGGTTGAATGGCAAGCTCACTGCCATTAGGTTGCAGGTTGGCACCATGGAGCACATTTCCAAACCGTCTTGAATCCTGCAGCTCCCAATCCTGCAGGGAAGATCCCCAGTTCAAGAATGCTGGTGCAGCTGTGTAATGACAGATGGCCATGATGACAAACTGTTGTTTCAAGAGAGGGCTGGCTTGCAATGCTATGATTCCTAATCGTTAATTTAGGCAGGATTAACCCAATGTGCTCGTGGAGTAATTGATGATTTGTGCAATGAGCTGTGTGTCTAAGTTTCTGAGTGAAGATGCTGTTCAACCTGACATGTGGTGCATCTGCTCTGCCTGTTCAGGTTCATTTTCAGCGCAGCAATGATCCACTGCCCTTCCAGGATGTCCAGATTGGCCAAAACTCACTTAAGAAGCACATGAAGGGCTTTGTGTGCCGCCGTTTCTATGACACCAGTGGCAAGAAATGTTATTTTTTGGATGCTGTGGCTGATGATGTCAGGGCGATCAAATTTGAAGATCATCTTGTTCTGGAGGTGAGTCATGGACACCAGCAGTAGCCTTTTGTCGAAATCCATCAAGCAACCTGAATCAAGAAATGCACGTATGGCCACCAGGGGCTTGATGTGGCTTGCACACATTCTAGAAACTGCTGCGATGTTCAGTGGCAAATTTTGGCGATGCAGCACAGTGTACCTCATGGGGTCAACCAACGTGCAGGTTGTGTGTAGGTCCTTAATGTTGTTGAATGGATCACACAGCGTATTGACATCAAAGAAATGTTGTGCCTGCTGCCCATGCTGTCAAGTCTCCAAATATGCCAACAACTTTTGTCCTCATCTCTGGACTATGGCCAGTAGTGTCCACCGGAACCAATGGAAAGAATGGAGCATCGATGTCTTGCAATATCCCTAAATCAAAACCTGTGCTGGGCTCAAGTTCAAGAGGCTCAGGAACTTTCTTCCGTCATTGCATCCTTTTTCTGTGAACAAAATTAAGTGTACGGCGTCCCCTGAAAGGAACTTCCCAACTCACAATCGAAATGTTAGCTGTCCAAGGTTCAAGGTTGCCGCAGGCTTCCAAAGGCGAGTCTGAGGACAGGACCAACTACAGAATGCCGTTTGCAGTCCAGTTATGGTTGCTGTCAACAAGGACTGGAGAAATCCAATCCTTCTGGTGTTCATGCTCAAGGTGCAAGATCTCCTGAAGGCGACCAGGCGTCAGATCGATGCTTGGCATGCGCATAATCCCAGATGGTATCTGAATGAACGACCTGGCAGTGCTGCTGGTCGCTTGGGAGAGGTTCAGGAAGGAGGCACAGATGGTGGTGTGCCATTTGGTAATGATGTGGCCAACCAGTCTGCAGTGGCAGAGGGCAATTCAGAAGATAGACAGCAGCAACACAGACCGTTTGATGCTGTCAAGGGCAGCACCAACAGGAAACGTCAGTGGGTTGGCGATCAGCAAGGTATATCATCTTGTAGTTGGTGGACAGTGGAACATGAATTGAGCATTCACTATGAATCCATTCAGTGGCAAAAAAGACAGCATGCTAACCTGCAATGTCTTGCCCCATACTCTCATGCAAACCCCACCCTTGTTAGATTCCAATGCTGAATATGTTTTGGAATAGATTTGTTCGTTCATTCCTATCCGATCGTGATCACTGCTGCAAGTCATGAAGCAGCCTTCAAGTCAGAAAATTGGAGTACCCCGATCGTGGTTCTTGAACCTGTTTAATGCTGGCCTTTGGCAATGTGCAAGTAGGTGATCCTGCTAATGTGCCAAACCATCTCCATGGTCTCGTCAATGCAAGCATCGATCTCTCACCTACAGCATTGCAGCGAAGGGGGATAGTGATGTTGTAAGTGGCACAATGCCTGCTCTGTGATCAACAGTTTTGTCCTCTTCAGGAACCCAATTTTGCCTGTTTCTGGAAGTAATTACCATGTCATGTATATGGCAAGTGAGACTGCAGATAAGTGTGGACATGTGCAGGTGCAATGCCAGATTGGAAGTCCCAGAAAACTGATGTCAAGCACACACCGTGGAGGCGTCTTGATCGAACTGTCTCAGATCCTGTCATCCCAGAATTGAAAGCAAACACTTCAAATCTACAAAGGCAGATGTCGCTGGATGCTGTGAAGATTACGTGGGAGCCCAATCTTCAAAGCTACCATAGCCAGCCATCTGGATCAGTGCCACTGCACGATGGTCACACAGCGAGGCACTCAACTGGACCCAGCAAGGAGGCTAAACCAAAGACAGACACAAAAACACCACAGGTTAGGTGGCACAATAACTTTTGATAACCATTCCCTTTTCCTTCATCTGTTGTATAGGAATAATGTCTGTTTGGTTTTGCATACACAACTACAGGGCTGCTGAGATATTGCCTGATATTGCCTGTCGCATGGTGTTTGTGACAACACTGCTGAACAAACTGTTCAATAGATGCTTCAGAATGGCTTTGCCAGTGATCAATGGTGCATCAACTGTCGGAAAAGATCAGCAGTTTCCATCCACACCACAAACTTGGAAGCATGTGGGCATGTGTGTTCCTTGCTGAGCAGCCCTCATCGTTTGTTGTTCAGGCCTCTGTTTCTCTCCAGGTGTCCAGCAGAGAGGATGACGAGTCCGATGATGACATTCCCTTGTCTCAACGATACAAACAACAGACATGCAAAGCAGAACTTCAGATTGCAAAACGTGCCAAAACTGCAAACACTCCTGCAAATCCTGACCTCTACATAAGACGAAACGGGGATAGGTTTGATGTGAAGATCCCCAAAGCCTTCACACATGGTGGTGAAACACGTACTGAGCTTGTGTTCAGTGGGAGCTTCACTTCCAGGGACAAGGCTGAGAAAGTGTGCATCGCCGCCATGCATATGGACCATGCAGATTTGAAAGATTATGTGAAGGCCAATGCAGCAGAGTTTGGAGCAGACCCTCGTACTGGCCGCCCACCAGTCGAGCCAGCAGTGCCTTTGACTGTGATTCCCAAAAGGGAGAACAAAAGCTGTGGCTCAAAGAGAACAGGTCAGTGATGTCACCTGGTTGTGGTTAGCTACTCGACAACCCGACTGCCGAATTTTTTGCTATGGCAATTAGTGAGCACCGCAATGTGCTCCCAAGGCCCATTGTGTGGCAGGCGCAACACATGCAGTTGGGATTTACTTGACAGTGTACAAAGTTTATAGGCAAGCTGGTCCTTGTGCTGCACTTTGAAAACAGTGTGTTCTTGGCTTGTATTGGCATCCAGCATAATTGGATGTCTGGACTCTCATTGATTTCCATGTCTGCAGCAGAGGTGCTACACGAAACGCCTAGAGAGGTGGAAAAGCAACTAAGGCGGCAGGTATGTTGGCGAGCACCATCTGTCTTTTGGAGTCTTGCGTACATGTGACCATGTGCTGTTCAGATTGAGGACATGGAGTTGTGCCAAACCCTCTGTTGTTATATCATCAGTGCAACATTTCTGTGGACACAGCACCCAGCAGTGATAGGCATAGTGCCTTTGTTTGGCAACAATCAGTATCAGGTCTCTGAGGGGGTGAGGCAAAGCTCCAATCATCATATGGAGCAATTCACAGCAATCAAGCCTGGACCAATGCGGCATCGTATGTTCTATTTGATTCCACCGATTGCGTGGTGAGCACTGATAACCATGTTGCAGGCCACTCCTGTCAGCGAAATAACTCCAACATCACCAGTCCAAGGCCCAACTCCTTTCAGTTGTCCCCCCCAGCCTGACACAGCAGAGGTGGAGCACAGCCCCAGACAAGGAAGGACTGAGAATAACATTAAACAGGAAATGCCATCTGGGAAACGTGGGGTAACGATGCCCACAAGCCAAGTCTTGGCTGGTGAACTGGCACAGCCACATTCCCTCCAAGAAGATTTGCAGATCGCCTTGGGTGCAGACACACCTTGCCGCCTATCCAGTGCAGAGGAGGGGGCAATGGTGGTGAGAGCCTACGATGACAGCTTGCTGCAGAGGTACCCAATGGTCACATACAAGACGGCTGAAGGGGAGGTCAAGAGGGGCAGACTTATACCTGAGGAAGATGTGGCAGCTCTGAAGGCTGTGGACCAGAGGGCTTGTGATTCATCAGAGGTGCTTGGCGCAGATTGCAAGGACGCTGCCTTGTCAGTGGAGCCCAGACCAACTGGAACACCAGTCTCTGAACCTGATGATGGCCCACCACAGGCCGTGGACTCTGAGCAGAACATTTTGGGCTCAGAGGCTCTCACGGAGGCTGTGGAGGGGGTCCCAAAAGCGGAAGACAAGCAAGAGGGTTCGCCTGTGGCTGGCAACGAGCTCAACATGAGGAGCTTCAAGGAGCTTCAGGGAAAAGTGGACATTTTCTTGGAAGGACGAGCCAATGAGGACACAGAAGGGGACCTAATTGGATATTCGTTTCGAGACTGTCTCATTTGCATGGAGCACAGATTTGCAGAATTTACAGAATTTACAGCAGGATTCTTGGAAAGGGCTGTTCACAGGGGGTTGTGGGACTTGTTTTTGAGCGATGTGGACAAGGGAGCCCGCACGGCACTTGTCCTCAAGGTGGATACGGACAGCGGCGAGTGCTACATAATGTTCAGTATTCGGCAATCTGACCGGTCAGATAGGACAGACAACTGCAGACATACCCTTTTTGCCACAGAATGGGTCCTTGCCTGGCCGCAGGTTAATCTGAAAGATAGTATCGAAGAATTGCAGCAGCAGGAAAATAGCGGCGGAAATGCAGGGTATTGCCCTTCTGGCCAGGGCGCATACCTGGAAGATGGCAGCGGCGCCATAATAGGAGGCTGTATTGGAATGGGGCATTTCGATATGTGGTTGATTGTGGATGCCCTGGTACAGCTAGGATACCTTGAAGAACCAAACGTGCTGTCGGGATCCACGTTGACAGCTGGCATGTGCAAGGACGTGGGGAAGACATCCAAGGATGGCGCAGGTGACGAATCTGAGACGAGCGACGAAGAAATTGAAGAAATTGACATTGGGTAGTGGACTTGAAGCTGTTTGGAAAGGAACCCATAGAGTGGCGGAGATATGTTAGGAACTAAATAGACGCAGGCTGGTCTTCTAATGTAACAATGCAACCATGAAACAAACTTGGTTAGATTTGGGTAACGAACGTCTGCCAAAATCCATCTTTGTGGGATGCCTGACGCCGATGAGTTGAATTACCGTTGAAAGCTTCAAGGCGCAGGTGGAATCCTGCAACAGAACCTTGTCTTGGATCTTGTTCGCTGTTCGCAAGACACCCAGTCAAAACATTGCCGTGGCGATGGAGGCAGAGCCCCATACTCACAGAGGGTTCTGCAGGGGCAACCTTCATTTCGGATGCGTGTCAGATGTGGCCACGTTACACATTTGGGCACCGGGTAATGGCAGCCAACGCGAGGTCTGTACGGGCCATGATTTGCAACTCAACATGTGTGCAGCTGAACAGGTTGAGGGGCCTGCGATTCCACTCAGGCAATGAGTGACGGCCAGCTGCATTTCCGGTAAGTTTTTTGAGACAAAAAATCGGGGCCCTGCTGAGTTTCCGTTCTTTCCTGTTCTGGGACCGACTGAACTTGTAATTCCCAAAGCAGGCCTGTCGATCGGTTCAGAGCATTCAGATTCGATGTGCAATGCGCATTCACTCTTTCCGTTGTGATTTTTTGCGTGCATACAATTATCATGTGTTGTGGTCTGCCCCTGGAACATTTATGAATGTGGCTGTACGAGATCATGCGCTGGTGTTAACTGCCCTTTTTTATGAAGGCCTTGCTCAAAGAAGCACGCATGTGGCGCTCGACAAGTCGACGGCAAACGTGGATCCATCTGCATGGGTAGACTCAGTAAGGCCGGCCCACAACAGCTTTTCAGTGCGTAATGTGCAGCTGGCTGCGCATTACAGCGTGGTACTGGGTGGTCCACGCGCTGAGGCAGGGAACCACACTGTCTTGCCGCGAGCACATCCTGAAGAATTGGCGGCAAGTTGGTCCCTGGGGCTGGGCGGCGCTGTGCAGAATTTGATTTTCTGCGTGCGTCCTTTTCGAGGTGGATGGCATGGGTCGGGGCTGCGCTGTAGACATGTCATGTCGTAGGCATGTCGCGTGCTGCAGCAATGAGGTTCTTGGGGCACCGACGGGCAGTCAGACTCGGTCGGCTGCCTGTCCTCTTTCGGTGAAGCCTTCGTGGCCCTCGGAAAGCACGGTGTAGACGTGCTGCATGCAAAAGCGAAGCCTTGAGAACTGCATTGCGCATGGTGTTCAGATGTTGCGCACCAGGTATTGTCTGTGAAATGGCAGTGTGACAACTTCCGGGGATTGGAAAGGCAAAACTCTGTCAGCCCCTCTCGTTGTACCAACCAAATTGTGAAAGTTGTGTTAAATACACATAAGTTGCGAGCGAATTTTCTCTTTCGTGGGTAGCCAACTTGGGCGGCGCTTGCACTAGCTGCACGGCTGCCGTCAAGCAAGCATTTAGTGCATTGTTGGTGAGAGTAATGGAAATGCACGCGCAAGTTATGCGGCGTTGCAGTCTTGTCGACTGTCAGCTTCCCTCATAGAAAATGCTTTTCAAACGCGTGACTTTGTCGCCCAAGTCATATTGTGGCCCCCAAACAAAATGACCCACTTGCCAGGCAAGGTTGGCCTATTGAACAAGTTCCGGCGCAGTTCAAGAGAGGGGCGGCAGTGGCTGGGTCTCACCAGGCCGAAAGGGCTGAGTGTGGTGTGGTATAAAGTCCTGGGAAGAAGCGAGTTTGGCTCCTTCAATCTTCAGTCTTCAGGCTACAGGGGGCTTCATGAAGTGGGTGCCCACGCAGACTGTGTGTGCATGTGTCCGCTGGCGCCCCCGCGGCTTGGTGAACCTTGTGTGAAGCCCCGGAATTCGAGGCAGCCGGTGTAGCATCGAACTCTGACCAGGGAACATTGTCCAAAGGTCATGCCCAAAGGCTGAACTCAATGCCGCATGTGGAGTTTCAGGAATGTCGGATGGAGGCGGAATGCTGTTGATCGAATGATCTATTGTGGGGATGGTACCCGGGCTGAAAAACCTTTTCCGGGTACCTGGAGTTTCCAGAACTTGGGTACCTGGTGTGCCTAGGTAACCCAGGTACACTGGATACCCGGGTAATCACGAATAAGCGGGTACCCGGGTGCAACCAGTAGTACTGGTCCACTACCCGCGTTTGGGTATATATCGGGGTACGGAAATGACATTAACTATCTTGTTAATAGATTTCCACCCTGGACGACGTTGGGTGGGCTGCGCTGCGATTCGAATCGGTCGGTGTCGTATTCAAACGGGTTTCTGCCCCTCTCTAGTACCTTGGGCCAGTCAAAGTACGTAGTTTCCAAGGTGCCGTCAGTTTGGCGCCCTTGGACTTGGCGGGCTTTGGCGGGGCTGAGGGGGGACGGCTATTTAGGCTTCCCCCTCGGTCCCCCTCCTATCTTGTTTCGCACCCAGCCCTCCCGCCCTAGAGAGTGGAGTTCGGTTGAGTTTAGGGTGAGAAGGGGAAGGTATGGTCGGAAGTACGGGATTAGGGGCTGACTCAGGGCCGAGTCACGGGAAAAAGTGAAGTGAAGTATGCAAAACGAAAGGGCAAACTGTTAAGTACGGGGTCCTCGGGTATGTGGAGTTATCGGTGATGGACACCTTTATTGTAATGTTTTGTCGTGTGGGGAACATGACCGGGAGGGTACAGGAGACCGGTAAGGTGGAAACTGGTTTGCCACGTGCTTGGCTGGCTTCTGTCTAACGGAGTACCGTAGATCATGGAGGATAGCGCCCCCCCTGCGTTCAACATCAGGGCTGGCGCCAGGAATGCGCGGGGCGCTGTTGTGCGTGCCCCCGCGCTACCTTCCGTCCTCCCCACGTTCTGCATCAGGTCGCTGACTCAGTAGCGCCCCACCGCGCTCCACAACACCTGCCATGTTTGATAACACTGTGGGCGTCATCTAAAGGCACCTGCACTATTCAACACCCCACGCCCTATCCTCCGTGATCTACCGTACACGACGACGACGCACCAAGCATGCAAATTTTGCGGACGGAAGTGTGGCGCCCGTCCGTTTCTGGGAACATGGTATTTCGAAACGGACGGTCGGTGCGTCCGCAGAAGGGCGGGGTAGCAGGCCTCCCCGGGAGGCCGTGGGAGACACGAGACCTGCAGCGGATCTCCGACTGCATGGCGAAGCGTGGTGCCCACATTAGCTTCTTTGGGGCGCCGATTGATGCCACTCGCCGGTGCCATTCAGAGCACCCACGGGTGGTATCGTTCGGCGGCCGTGAGGAGCGAAAGTGGCTGGAGTGCGAGGCGACGTTCGAATTCCCTCTCCCGCCATTTTATGGCGTGCTTTATCGCCCATTTTTCACCTGGCATCTGCCCCTCGTGGAAGATAATTGCACGCAGGTTGCACATAATTTCGACCAAATCCAACAAGCAACGGATGTGGCTTCTCCTCTTTCACTCAGTTTACCAATTGAATCCTGACTCTTGCTTGTCACGCCTTCTACCCAAGGGTCAACCCCCCTACAATTGCCTGCTGCTTGGCAGCAGGCTGCCTCCAGCAGCGTATCCTCTTTAAGTCGCCGCATTCAACCCAGGGGCGAAGCATTTCAAATGCTTGAAGCCAAGTTGGCTTCTCCTCTCTCAGCTGGGTAACTGAATGACTCCAAGCGTTTTCGTTTGCCAATTGCATGCCAGTGGGTGAGCAATTGCGAGCGGTTCGTGGGCGAATATGTGTCTGTTTGTACGCCGGACGCGTACAAGTGGGCAGCTAATTTTGCACCAGCTGTGTACGGGTGGGCGCGTGGTTGGACGCGGGTCGCATACAAATGCACCCTGCACAGTGGCGTGAGTTCTCCCCCACGCTGTGAATCTTCGGCTAATTCTCGGTTTCATGAATCTTCGGTATCTCCGCTCGCTCCATCCACAGCGTGCTCAACTTCCTATGTGTCGCAACGTGCAGATCGCGTTTTCACAGGACATAGTTGCAGCCGGCGGACATCATTTCGCCAGGGTAAACGAGATCTATAATAGATCTCATAATAGATCTAGATTCATAACAATTATGAATACCTCCCAAATCGCGCGTGTTTTAATTTTTACATAGTGTGCGTATTATTGGAAACTTTAATGTGAGGCATATTCCACAATTGTGGAGCGGGTTGCGTCCATTATATCAATCAGCCCTTGAGGAAGACACACATTTTCTTCCCTGCTGTGCCTGCTGTCCCTGTGTGTCCAGGCCTTGTTGTGTGTTCACTTGGGGGGTTAAGGCAAGTTGGTCGTTCTGGTTGCTTTCCTTGTTGTTTTGCATGCTTTTGGTTAAGTGCAGGGCTGGTGGGTGTGGTCGGGTGGTGAATAAAATACAATGGGACAAATTACAATGATTATGTGGTTGTTGTAGTACTTCCCGCGGGGGGACCAAATGTGCAACCCCACGGGAAGCTGTGTGAACCTGTTCCGGTCCACTGTGCCCCGTTCCGCCTCCACGCCTCCACCGGACACCCAGCGGCCGCCCGGGGCCGATCTCCAAGCAAACCGACGGGCCCACCTCGCAGCAAACGGGAGCTTGCCCTACCAAGCCCACGCGCATTCGCTGAGAGCGCCGGCGGCGAATCCGGCCATTGGGCAAGGAGGCCCCCCAAGATCTAACCCATCGCGGCGCCCATCGGCCGCGACAGACCTGCGCAGTCGAGTCATTCTCCAGCGCATCAATTCAATGCAAATTCTGGCTTCTGGTCCCTCTCATTTGCTGGCGAGAGTACTTCACTCAATGTATTGTCACCGACAATCATTCGCAGGAAATTTTGAACTGGTTGAATCCGGATCCTACTTGCGCAATGCCTCGGATTTGAATGGCATATGGATGATGGACATTACTTCCCTTGGGAAACATGAGTGTAGGGCGGCTTCCTCTTTGGCTTGATGCATAACATTTCCTGAATTAATGAATCATGGGTCACGATGGCAATACTTTCGCTCGATAAAGGTGTGATGCCCC